TCTTTTTCAGAAACATAGATACCATCCAAAAAATTGCTGATATCTTTGTTTTTATCTTTTGTGGCCTGTTGAATCAAAGCAGCTGAATTTGATATAAGTTCAATGTCGTCTTCTTTAAGAATGAACTCATCTTTCTAGGCTTGAGATATTGAACAAGCAACACCTGGCCCTCATCCAAACTAGACCACCATTCTCCTGAATAACGAACGACGCTGATGGGGAAAGATTACACAGATCTCATCTTGTAACGGAAGCCCAGTGTAATGCCCTGATCATGTTCTTTCGTGACTACAAATAGTGCGAACAGTAGCCAGTTTCTTTTTATTTCCCCACCATGTGTCAACCTGGACCCTCTTCTTTTTCTTTCCAAGGAGACTGAGTTCTACATTGATGTGACTGAATTCCCTCCACAAGGTGCCTGTCGGAAACCAGCCGACCAAGTCAAACCAGGTCCCTGAATGGGGGAGCGGGGACTGAGAATGAAGAGAAGACAGACAGGGTGCAGGAGGGAGAACAGATCTCACAACTGTCTCTCCGAGTTTATTTCTTAGGCTCCTTTTTATACATATTCTGTTCCTTTGTGTATCCCAAGATAACATAGTTAAAGCAACATCTTGAAGATCAAGGTACAATCGAACTCCCTTCAAAACTCCCGAACTCCCTTCAAAACTCCCTTCAAAACTCCCTTCAAAACTCCTGTTTCTAATCTTAATCTTCTTCCTCCTGCAATTCCTCAGAACCAGCCTTTTCTCTTTTATATGCAAGCAGGCGTCCGGAGATAATCCATGCACTCCTTTGAATTTTGGGAGCTTTAGCTCCCTACAATTCCCCGTTTTTTACTTTATAGTAGACTGTGCCTGTCTTAGGTGGCTTCCTGCGAAACATGGAGCTTACCCGTCATTGGAACATGTATTCCATCATACATGCCCTGTCTTAGGTTGTCCAGTTTCCAAGAAGTCCTTACCCGTCTTTGACTACCAGCCACTATACTGGGGTATTTTTATTTCTTAACTTTATTGCATGTATCTTGGAACCAACATCTCGCACTGCTTGTATTACGCATTTCAACAGATATGGCAATAAACACAAGATGACTAACATGAAACAGGCTAGAACGATAACAAATCCTAATAAATGAGTAAATGGTCCCCAAGTAGGGACTAAACCTTTTAAACCCTTTATAAATTCTTGCACTGTTTGATCAGTATTTATTTGTAGTTCGGGAGCTTCTTTTAAGGCTAAAATGTCTCGATGTAATTGAACTAAATCTAATGACATATTAGCACTATGCCAGATCCCTTGTAAATGATTTTTTATCTTATCCCAAGGATGGGTGGTACTATTATACCTTTTTGGAGTTACACAAATCCATCGATATTGTACATGGCAACGTAAGCGGGAGGACAATTTTAAGGCTTGAACTTCTTCTCCCAAAAAGTTTACTGTTTCATATAATGCATCTAATTTTTGTTAAATTTTTTCTTCAATACTTTCTTGAGATCCCATAGCTAATGTAACATTTTTTTGTCAGATCATTTGCGAATGTTGCAATTTGCATAGAGTTGGACAAGGATATGGCAGCACTGGTGGCTGTAACCACCAAGGCAACAACTGCAAGAATACCTGGCACAACAACAGCCACAGCCCTTTTAGATCTTCCT